TACTGATCATACAGTCAGCAGCCCACTATGTAACCCACTAAACTACCAGGGCTTCCTGTAGTGGTCACTAATACTGAGATTCTCTAGGGCCAGCTTTTTACCCAGCACCCTGCAGCGGTACACACTCCTGGATATCTGAATGAAGCTAACCACTGCCTTTTGGAATAGTAAGTAAGGTCCTGCGCCTCTCAGGACCGAGAAGCTCTCAGAAAGGAACGATTCCCCAAGGTCATTTCAACCGAGGCTGAATGAAGAACAGATGATGTGTGACAAAGGGCCATTCACCCCACCTCAGAACCCCCCAAGACTACAGTGTCTAGACAAGACTGTGGGAGCACAGAAGGCTGGCTTACGGAGAAGGCTTCCTGCTTCTGGGCAATGTTGGTGTTCCTGTCACTCCAATCATAGAGCAGCTCCTCCTCCTCGCAGTCGTTGATCCACATGATTTCCCGGGATGTGGCCTGGATGATGTTCTGCAGCTGCCTCAGGTGGTCCATTCTGTCAAAGGACGCTTTCTGCAAAGAGCATTCACAAGCAGGCAGCATTTGAAAAGCCGTGTGCATGAACAGTGGACTCCGCAAACTTCACGAAGAACCCACTCTGGTCATTTTAACAAGAAAAACCACAAGACGAGTTAGGGCATCAATGTCACCAGAGGCTGGCGCAGACAGGGGGACGAACAAGCCAGCTCAGCTGAACCCAAACTGCCTAATCCAGGAGAGTCCTGATGCAGTAATGCATTATTTGGAGAGGGCAAAGAGAGAACCGAGTTTCAAGAAAGATCACTCAGCTAGAATAGAGAACTGTCCAGGAACAGGAGGGAACAAAAGAGTGTTTAGGAAGCACTGTATGTCTCTAAATTGTGAATGCCCAACATGATTAATATAGTCAACTTCTACCAACTGTAGATTAAAAACCTGTTGACGTGAAAAATCATATATATATATGGACATATATATATATGAAATCATGCATGAATATGTGAAATCATGTATTTTTTGCCTTCTTCTTCTCCCCAAATTCCAGGTACCATCAGTCATAACCCTACCAAAGGAATATTGGTATCATGTGTCTCGGTACAGTATTTTTTTTCTTTTCTCTTTTTTTCCCCCCAGTTTTAAAAATGCCACCACCAACAAGGAAGTATTGAAAGTGAAGGTCAGGACCAAGGATGCAGTGCCCGTGCCTTAGCTGACGTGGATCTCAGTGACTGCTGTACTTTGATTGGCCTGTCCATAGTGCTGTCTGAGACCTTGACCACAAGGAGGAATGGCTCCCCGAGGCTCGAGGTCTGGCAAGAAGTGACTGTCTTTGTTGTTGTTCCGTGGGTTGGGATAAAGAAGAGACTTTCCCATTAACCCCAATTGAGATTAAAGTATTTTCTACTTAAAAAAAAAAAAAAAAGAAAGTGAAGGTATGGACACCTGAGCAAACATAAGGAAGGAACTATCTACTCTTCTTATGCATCAGGCACATTTTACAGGGTCTCTATGGTAGTTTGCTAAACCTCTACCGAAGAAACACAAAGCTGCAATTCACAAGTGGAAAAGTTGCATTAAACTAACAGTCTTTAGCAAGTTCTTCTAGGTGGCCCTTGCGAATGGAATCGTGATAGGTGCAGGAAAGGGGAGCTCAGCACCCAGAAGCCCCTGAGTACCTGTCCTCCCAATATGTGCAGGGCAGGAGCCCCACAGCCGGGGTGGTCAGTGTGTGTCAGGACTGAGCATGAACACAGGCCCCAGCACTTCAGAAAAGGTCCACTTACCAGCAGATTTTCATACTCTTCTTCCAACTGGTAGATGGCAGATTTTTCCCGCTGGAAGACCAAAAGGAAGGATTTCATTCCCTGAGTAGGCTTGTATGGAAAGACCAACCTCTGCTCTCCGCAATACAATGAGGTGCTTGCTCCATGAGCAATTTCACCTGCCAGGACCTTCGCCAAGGCGGTGAGAAGTTAAACCCTCCCTAGCTGCAAGTGCAGTGGTTCTCAACCTTCCTAACGCTGCAACGCTTCAATACAGTTCCCCATGTTGTGGTGACCCCCCAACCATAAAATTATTTTTACTGTTACTTCATCACTGTCATTTTGCTACTGTTATGAATCGGGCGGCCCCTGTGAAAGGGTCCTTTGACCCCCAAGGAGTCGTGACGCACAGGTGGAGAACCGCTGTGCTAAAAGTGACCACCACAATGGAGAGGACTAGAAGTTTTACTTTAAGAACCGATATGACAAAATTAAAAAGTTGAAAATATGACTTGAGATTCCCTAAATCGTCGAGGAATAAGGGGGAGTATTGGCTGGGCACTTGGGAAGAAAACAAAAAACACTGGCAGGAACTCAGTTCTGACTCACATGGCCAGCCCACATGTCACAGAGTACAAATGACCCATAGGGTTTTATTGGTGGCCATCTTTATGGAAGCCAGGCCTTTCTTCCGCAATGCCACTGGGGAGGTTTGCACTGCCAACTTTGTGTGAATAAGCAAGCACAAACCTTTGAGCCACCCCCAAAGAGGCAAGGATAAGTCCCAAAAAGCTGGATGACGAACAGGGGATGAGTGGTTTGAGCCTATGCTTAAAAGGGCATTGAATTAAAAGGGGGGAGGGGCGGGGTCTGGCACTAACAACAACAGAAGCAAAGCAGTAGGGGGTGGACAAAGGATCTGGAAGGACACTAAGCAATTAAGACCAGACATTTGTGCTGTTAATTCTCTTAGTTTCTCGTCTGCTTCTGTTTTTGATTTTCCTTAAATAAAAGTGTTAAGGTGAGACCTGAGTAGTAGCAAGACATTTGAGTGACCACAAGGGAAAGGATTCACCACTGGCAAAGAAGCTACGGGGTTGTCACTGTTTCCCAATTAAAGGAGATGCTCTGCTTCTTACACAAACAGAAGAGCAGAGTCTGCAATCTTACAAACATCACAGCAAGGAGATTGTGCATGCCTGACTCTTCTGTTCAACTCCTTTCTCCAATCTCAGTGCAATCTACCATGGGCCCACCCCATCCCACTTCCGCATTTATGAGACAGGGGTTTTCAAAAAATTGCCAGTCTCTTGGGAAAGGAAGAACTGATGCGTGTTTCAGACAAAATTGCCTGGGCTAGAGAGTCATTACACTTGGGAGAGGCTCGAAAAGGGTGCCTTGTATTTACCAAGTCAGCCTTGATTTTGTCTAACTGCCAGCGATAGTCCCCGATGGCGTTGTGAATACCCCTGTGGCTGTTGATGTGCTGCTCCACGGACATCAGGTCCACCCCCCAGGTCACCATGTCCATCTCTGTCTGTGGAAGGAAGGAGGGAGGGAGTGAGGGAGAGACAGAGAGATCCATTACAGCACCATCCTTTGCTCCTGGCTTACCTATTGAAGGCCCCAGGGGCTCCCAGCACCCGGGGGCAGAAAGGGCTCTGCCTCTGATCAAACATTCCGTAAACTGCTAGCCACAATACTGTTTAAAGGTTCAGGCTTCGCAAGTAGCCAAAGAAGCTGACCAGGGACTTTCCTGAATTGTTGAACCCCAGCCTAAATTGCATCCTTGAAATCAAAGGAGCATGTCCTTTGAATGAAAAAAATTTAAAAATCTAGGTGTGCACATGGAAGTGTGGGTGTGTACAGATAGTGTGTGATATATATATATATATATATATATCGGTTTTATATAAACAATGATGGAGGCTTCTTTACTCATTAAAAAACACTTTATTCCTTGAAGAACAGTCATAAAAATGCATTAAGCTCAATCACATACTGTTTCCCAAACAAAAGTGGCTAACCTAACAGTATTTTTCATTGTCTATGTCTCAATCAACACAATTATTGATTTTTCAAAACCCAGCACTTAGTATTTGTCTCCTTCAGGAGACTGATAGTATTGTTCTCAATTATGAGAGTGCTGTCAGACACACGAAAAATCCTGAGGGCCTGTTTCAAAGAGAAGTGACTGTGAATGCTCAATGTCTTCATTGAAGTTAATATTGGCACATGTTAACATTGTGGGTTTGTGTTAGGTCTTATTATTATTTAATCAGGCTAAATTGATTACTTGAGTGTCCTGGACGCTCAATTCAAGAAAGCCGCCTAACAGGAATGAAAGCTATGACTCCACAAAGTTCATGTTGTGGCAAGTCAATGATTGCATGCTTCTGTTGCAAGAGCACATGTACATTTCCAAGGCACCTGTGTCATCTCCCGGGCTCACCAAGGGCCAGCATTCCCATGTGACATGGCAGCAAGAACAGAATCACACATTGTTCTGGGCCACAACCGTGTTCCGGGGCCTTGGCAGGCCCTCAAAAAGGGGCGGCATCTCAGAATCCGACAAGTAGGAGTCCCCAGGGACTTTGACCCTTCGCTTCTGTGCTCCTCTATGCTTTCAGCCAGAAACTCAGAAACAACCAGACAGGAGTAACCAGGAGATAACATGACCAGCTTTCCACTCATGCCCTTCATTACCAGCCCAGCCGATAGTATCTGACCCTCCCATCAGCAGAAACACAAGTCAAGGAAGCTAAACACAGCCTGGACACGAGAGCTGTGCACTTGACTGTTGACGGTGTGCCTGGGGACAGGGCCCCCTTTATCACGCCAGCACTGCTTCTCAGTCTCCTGGGAGTGAAATAAAGAATGCAGATACGGCCTGGGGGAGAAAAGGGGGTTGGCAAAAATCCGAGAGCAAACCAGAAGTCAATAATAGAACGTCTTTAGAGGGCTTCAAACCCAGGGACTGCCTAAAAGGCTCTGGTTCTCATCAATTGTATCTGGGTTTTTTACCAGGACACAGAATGAAGTCCACCAGGTAACACCATTTTCTGAAATTAAACACAGGAGCCTTTGCGACAAGGTATGCCGACAGAGCGACAGCCAACAGGAAGATAGAGAATGACACACGATGAGCTGTCATTTATGTAGCTGTTCATTACTGACTAAGAAGAACTTAGGGCTATGACATAGCCAATTTGGCACCACAAAGGTTGTTTTACACAGCGGTGAAAGCCCCATTCGCCCTGCATGTCTTCCTTTGAATGCTCCACTCCGCCCTGGCTGGAGCAGCTCGTTCTCCCACGCCTAACGAAACAAGGTCTTATCACAGCTCCCACAGGGCAAGTGAGACTGAAATCAGAGATTTCGGGTGTAAGTGTCTACTTTTCTTCCAGATCATAAGCTCCTTGAGGAGTGTGGAGCCTAATCTTGAACGCTCCATTTCTGGCACAGCATCAATGCATATAAAGTGCTCAGGAAACACATGCTCCAAGATTAGAAGGGAATGGGAGGAGGTTCCCAGTGTTCAACAGACATTTCTCCTCTTTACCCTCTACTTTCTGTAATTGTATTTTATACACTGCAATATATTTTATACCCAAATCAGGGTAGAACTGTGCCCCAAGGGTTTGCAATGGCTGATTTTTTTTTTAAGGACTAGATTGCCAGGCCTTTCTTCTGAGGTGCCTCTGAGTGGACTTGAAACGCCAACTTTCCTGTTAAATGGCAATGTGTGTTAAGAATTTGCACTACCCCAGTGAAAACAGTATTCTCAGAATAGTGTTCCTGCTGCCATCGAGTTGACTCCCAACTCAGAGGGATCCTCCAGGATGGAGCAGTGCTGCTCCCTAGGGTTCCAGAGACAGACAGACTCATCTTTCTCCCATGGATTGACTGGTGGGTTTGAACTGCTGACCCTGCAGTTAGCAGCCCAAATCTTAATCCACTGCACCGCGAGGGCTCCTTCATCATTGCATGAGATCGTCTTTATAATAAATGGGGGAGATTCTAACCCTATCAGTGAAGACTAGTAGCCCAGGCCCTCGCCATGTGGGGAAGAACACACACGAGCATGTTCAGATGGTTGGGAAACCTGAGAACCGCTGAGAAATCGCTCCAACAGAGACCAAGCTGTTTTACAACTGCAGGGGCAGCACCCAGCCAAGGATCTCGCCACAGCTTATCACGCTCGCCGCCCTCTGAAGCAGGGTCCCAAGGAGCAGATCAGGTTTTCATTATAAAAGTCCCATCTATGTGATCATGGCACATTGCAACGGCTACCCGTTCATTACGGCACCTAATGACTCCATAAAACAACAAAGCAACCATTAGGATTCAAAAATACATGGAAGAAACTCTAATTCCAGGGAAAGGACCGGCACAGACTTTTATGCCATTACTTTATTTCACTCCCACGCTAGTGACAACATGGTTGCCCAACCAGACAGCTGACACTTCAAAAACACAAGGGAGCCGGCCAGTGAGCCCAAACCAGATTATCCAGTTTCACTGTGGTTCCCAGCCACTCCAACTTGCTGACATTCTTAGTCAGCTTCCCCAAGGCTCCACGTCGTCCCCGCCCCCCACCCTAAGTGCCTATCAGCAACATCCATGAGGTCAGTTATACTTCAAGTGGAATGACATTGATTAGCACACAAAATCCCCCCACATAGATCTCCCTGCTGCGGACAAGATGAGTTAGGTGTTCAGAATTCATTCACAAAGTGCCCCTGTTCAATGTGTGATCGCGTATGATGATTATAAAGCAAGGGGGTGGACTCCCTGAGACACATGGAAAAAGAAGCCTGATGAATGGTCAGATCACAGATATGCCGGTGGGGTCTAAGAAGACCTCTTTTCTGGACCAACAGAAAGGCAGTCCTGGAGGTGCCACATGAGGAGGGGTTGTAAGGGACCTCAGCTGCATGATTTCTGGCAGATACCACTGGACTTGACTTTGTGACTTTAAAGCCAAGACATCTGAGTTTTTCCAGCTGCCAACCAGAACTCCTGGCAAACCCTAGGCGTCTGAGCAGACCTGAGCTCTCCATTTTCAAGGTGGATGCTTTCAGAAGTAGTAAGTGTTCTTTCCCAGGAGCCTCTGGGTGATCGCCAACATCAGCCTACAATTGAGCGTGCTAATCATTGGCGACTCCAAGGGAACCTCGCCGTGACATTTCATTTACTGTGCCATAAATTGAGGAAATTCAAGTTGGATAATGCCCAGCTGTCTGATGCAAATGAGGAGGCTTCAAAGAGCTCGTGGAAAAATTCCATTACTTCTCAATTCCATTTTTCTATGATCTTTTAAAAAAAACTAAGTCCAGTTAACAAAATATAAATAAACTAAGTTTATTTATATGAAAAGGAAAACGTCATAAGGTTGTCATGCAATACACATTCAGTGTTTTAAATAACAATTATGACAAATAGCAGAAGGAATTAAGGAACGCTATGCTTGTGACCCATACAAAACACCAACCTTTGAAGCCCCCTCATAGAATGGAGTCTGGCATCTAAAGTATGCAGACACCGGGGCTCAGGGCAACTCCATGTGTGTCAGAGTAGTGTGTCAGCCACTGAAAATGGAGTGTTCAAGTCTACTCGGAAAACTGTCTGTAGTTCATTCATTTCAAATTAGAGGCTACTTTTCAAACAAGTGAGGGAAACTTAACAAATAGGATGGGGAGACTGCTACCTGAGGTCCTCTGTGTGAGCAGGAAACCTTGGGCTCAGGTGCCACGGTCTACACACCTGGCGCACGCAGACTTGGGGTGTTGAGAATCATCCCTTGTCCCTCCAGGACTGCTTACCCTCTGCTGTCTCATCCACCCCAGACAATCGCTGGTGAGCCTCTTGGTGAACTCATCCCACCCTGAGCCGCTCTGACAAGTGTATCCTCCACCTCCTTTGGAGCTGACCCTCCGGACGCGAGGGGCGCTGATGGCTTTGTAAAGGGCCCGCATTTGCTCCTGCAGCTGAAGCAGTCTGAAAGGGAAGACACATAGTTACGCCTTTGTAGCAAAATCTCCTATGAAAACATCTTCCGGATAATGGTCCCTTTTTTTTTGGAGTCCGCCTTGAGTCCCTTTGTAGACGTTTGACCATGTTGACCCAGGAAGCTTGAAAACACACACATAAATCTTATGGTGGCGGCTAGTACTTTCCTCTTTATCATGCGCTACAGCTTGAAAATTCTTCCTAGTACCCTGGGCACCCGAAGAACAAAATTAGACCATACGTCCCTGGATTAAACTCGTGAGTTACCAAGGGAAAAGGCCTCCTCTGTGTGTCCATTCAATTACGTTTGATTTGATATGACGGTCTTAAAAGTCGAAGGCAATGCCATTGGCCTTTCCGTCCCTCCACATGACGGTACTACCGTTAGCATCCTTTAAAAAAACTGCTTTCAGAACACACTCAGCCCAGAGACCAGTACACGCATGCGTGTACACACTCACACACACCCCTTACGGACAGGCCTGTTTCATTTCTTTCATGGCAGCTTTCTGATCTCACAAAGGATGGAAGTGGTGATTTGGGTCCATTTAGATCAGAGATACACAGTCACAAAATATCAAATAGTGAGCCTTTCCCTGGGAGTATTTGTGCTCCATCTACGGGAGACTTGGCTCACAGGACTGGAGTCCAGCTGGGCTTGCTGCATTCCTCCTCCTGATGTTGGCTGAAACCCGTACTCTCTATTGGCAATACCGTTTCTGATAAGCATCACAGGGCTGGCCCATTTGCCGCATCTCTCTGATCAAGCTGTCCGTGATTTCCATCTGGTCATTGGCCTGGGCAAAGCACTCGTCCAGCTCTCTGCTCCGAGCAAGCTGTAGGCCATCTCCATATTTCAGCTCCTACGGGAAAGAATTCACATAGGGGAAAACAGACATGACACCAGAGAAAAAAGCTCCATGTGCATATAAAATACACTGATCCCCTGCCCTTCTAATGATGAACATTTTCCAGCTGAAAATTATCAGATTTTATTTTGGGTAAGGAAGTGAATTGTAGAAGAACTCATGAGCCAAAAACCATATGGACTATATTTTACATTTTAGTCATGTTTTTAAAAGCATGCTTACGGAAATGCTTGTTTCCCTTTCTTCAATATGTGACATGCTGTTCATTCACCCCGACATAACTCCCACCTAAGAGAGTTTGCTCTGTATGGAACACTGAACCATTTAGACCAGTGGTTCCCAACCTTCCTAATGCCACAACCCTTTCATACAGTTCCTCATGCTGTGGTGACCCTCCCAACCATAACATTATTTTCGTTGTTACTTCATAACTATAATGTTGCTACTGTTATGAATCGGGTGACCCATGTGAAAGGGTTGTTCGACTCCCCCAAAGGGGTCGCAACCCACAGGTTGAGAACTGCTGATTTAGACCATCATACCAAATAAAGTCTTTAACATGTAAAGCAGAGCTTTTACTTCATCTTATGGGAACATCACTTTTTCGTTCTTTAAAAAATAATAAAATTTAAAAGTTTCCATCTAGTTCAGTGGATGAAGCCAGTCATGTTCCTGGCTTTGGTGACATGCTACTGCTATGTAGAGACCATGCCAGGTGATGATGGGTGCGTGGGGCCTCTCGGGACTCTTTTTGCAAAGAGCCTGTTAGCAAATATGATGCTATTTTCCTATCAAGTTTTTACTGTTCTTAATGGAAATGAGAACAAATTGAGTACATGAAGCCAGGTTAATTTGTAGTACCACATATAAAATTAAAACTCATGCCCAGGGCTGGGTTTGAAGGTCCAATATGAAGACACAAAGCCCTAGTTAGCTTACTGCAAAGCAACCCAGCACTAAGGTGGATGTTTAGAGGAATCTGCTTCAAATCAGAGACTTCAACCAGCCAGGACTGGCCCCACGCTCGCTCGTTGGTGGAGCCTCTGACATTCTTCTACATGGATGAAAGTCTAGTTCGTTTGTTTTGTAACTGGATGAAATCAGCTGGAACCAGAATTCACACAATATCTAAAATTAGGAAACGGGGTCACTAGATCATCTCCCAAGAGTTCATAAAGAGCCTGCTTCAAATACAAACCAACTCTTTCATGGGGGTGCTTTGAGGAGAGACAGACTCCAGGTCTAATCCTCTGTTAACCTCTGCTTTGGGGAGATGGGGGCTACATTCCTAAAGTAGAAAGACCCAATTCAGGGGAGCGACAGTAGAGGTACCATGGCCTCAACATTCTTTTATGTGTAGTTAGCAAACTCGAAGCCAGATGTGAATGCTGCAGTGTTTTACATAACGAAACCTATGACTTCTAAATTTGAGGCACCCCTGAGAGAGCTCTGCTAGCACAAGAAAAACCATGTGGTCCTACACAAACATTCCTTTAATTTTCAAATGCACATTTCCCCACATTGTAATGTTTCTCAAATGCACCCCCAACATGGCCATTCTTTCGGGGGGGGGGGGGTCCTATTTAACAGATGGTTTACATCACAACCCAGTGACATGAACACATCAGGAGGCATGTCTAAGATGGGAAAGTATTACAAACTCACATCAATAAACAATAGGTGGGTGCCAGGCCCACCAAGTGGCAATTTTTAGGGTAAATAGTTGTTGGGAGAAAAACAATAACTTTGGGGGAGGACTGGTTCCCATTGTTAAACCCACAGCACAAGTAGGTTGAGAAGACACACAGCCTGCTGTCTGTTTTGAAAAAGGTTAATGAGTTATGTGAATGAGGTCATTGACTAAGGACGGATTGGTCAACACCAGGTGAGTCTGAGCCGGCAAGGAACAAGAGCCGGTGCTGGGGAGGACAAGGGCTGAGGGAACCGACCAGAAAAAGGACAACTCACAGGCTGCACTATCAGCTCCGCCCGCATCAGGCAATCCGAGCAGTTCTGTAGCAGCTCCTGGATGGTGTTCTGGTTCTGGTGCCGGGACAGCGTGCCAGTTTGACTACGGTAGAAAACACAGGGAAACCAGCTGTGAAAGAGCTTGGAGCTAACGCTACAGTCATTTCGTACTTTTCGAAAAGGTATAGAAACAGAACAAAAGCATTCCCGGACTTCGAGATCTTTCGATCTTTCATTCCCGGACTCACACACCTTTTTTCCCATGGATTCACCAAAGGTTAGCACTTTGCCCTGTGTGTTTCGCCTCTCTCTCCTGTCCGTGTACACGTGCCTCTTTATGTGTGTATATAAACTGAACCAGCGTCATCATATTCCTCTTTACCTCCAAATACTATTGTGTGTAAGCCTCAGGGACACTCACTTATATAACCACAGTCCAATGACCAAAAGCACGAAATCAAGAATTGATATAATACTATTTTCTAATCTACAAACATGATTAGAATTTTACTAATTAGTCCCATTGAAAAAAACTGGATGGAGGGGAGTTCAACATTCAATCGACTTAAAAAAAATTTTTTTTAAGTTGTAAAAGTACGTTTTCCAAAGTGGTACAGAGCTATTGCAGCTTCTATAGATCTGATTTCAGCATCACCCAACGCTACCAACCCATCCAGAGGAAGGCATGAAGCTGTCCCTGGCACATCTGACTGCAGGGCAAAGTGGCTGATGAGGGGTAAACTTACTCCACCAATATTTCTGCAATCACAGCAAAAGACAGTAATGGCCAAAACAAACAGAGGATTGGTATGAGGAAGCTGATGCAAAATGTAAATACTTTTCCGGTAAAAACAAGCCTCTGGATCCATGGTGGTGCGCTGCTAACCAGAGAGGCACCAATGCAAACCTACCAGCTGTTCTGTGAGCAACGAGGTGAGAGAAGGCCACGCAAAACCTGCATGGGGTCGCTGTAAGTCGGAACCAATCCACCGCAGCGGATTTTGTCTAGTTGGTTTCCTCTCAAAATGATTCTAATAAATCTTTTTCTCTACACGGATCCTCATCAAAATGTGTGCTGAGGTGAAAGAAGCCGGGCAGGAACCTTAAAGCGAGGTAGTGCTAGAGAGGAATGTAGGTTGTCCAGAATTCAAAACATGAGGTGTCTCCAGCAGCTTCCTTTACTCCACTATCTGCATAAATCTACAGGATAGCCAGGCTTACAAAGCAGTTTTACTTCTTACTTGGTTTACCAAGATCCATTAGACAGCAGCACAAACTCACATAATTTAGTTAAAGAGAGAGATGGCTTAATGTGGTAAAAAAATAGAGAACCAAAAATACCTTCGTAAGGATTATGAAGGTCACAACCCAGTGATAGGAATTATTTCCATCACGTGTGTAACTATCACCATTTGGCATTTCCAAAAGTTTTACATTACCCTAGGCAGAAGCAGTGGATATGTGTGAGTGAGGCTGCTAACAGGTGCAAATATGTGGTTTGAACTCATGGGTAGGCATCCTCCTCTAGATTTACACCTGAGAATTGTGACGTCTGAATCCACCACCGAGATGTCTGCTTTCTACTCTGCCCTACAGGTGTGCTAGCAGTCAGAATCGCCCCCGCAACAATGGGTTTCTAAACAAACTCAATGCTTAAGAGAGCTTTCTGTTGTACGTAGGGTTGTTTTTGTTTGTGTTTGTTTGTTTTTTAATTAATCATTTTATTGGGGACCCTTACAGAAATAACAATCCGTAAATCAAGCAAACTTGGACCGATGTTGCCATCATCATTTTCAAAACCTTTTTTTTTTTGGTAATTTAATTGATGAATATATTTTTGTTGTTAAAAGTATGCATAGCAATGGATACACCAATTCAACATGTACAATTCAGTGACACTGATTACATTCTTTGTGTTGTACATTTCTTTCTCTCTTTTTTAAAAAATCATTTTATTCCGGGCTCATACAACTCTTATCACAATCCACACCTACATCAATTGTATAAAGCGCATCTGTACATAAGGTTGTATGAGTCAGAACCGAAGAGACAGCACCTACGAACATGACTTAATTGAATAAAATTCAAGAAAAGCGCTCTGCAGTGTGCTCCAGGAAGACAGAGTTCCCATGGGCTTCAGAGCCATCCGCCCCCTTCCCCAGGACCACCCTGGCCTGCTTTGATCTGTTTGATGTTCTGCACTTTGTCATGGGAGTTCAGGGGCGCATGCATGAGTGTTTCAAATGAAGAATTTCACTGGTTAAAAACGCAGAAGAGGATGGAAAATTTGAACACAAGTCTACGAGTTTGCCGTCACACCATGGCAAAGACTGACTTTCTTTTTCTATCACCTTTAGCGTTCCTCCCAGCCATCCAGCTCCCCGACATGCCAGCACTAGCTAGTTGGGGGTGAGAAACCACTCCCAATGATGAGACCTGCTGCTCTGGTCAAGCCCAGACAAAGTGCTCCCGAACCGGTCACCTATCAAAACTAGGATGCCCATCCCACCCACCACGTCCCTCCCAAACCGACCAGTGAGTCAGAATTACAACAGACATCTGGCACATGTCTCCTACTCCTTCATGTCAATGAGATCACATCTGTTGTCCTGACTTGTGTAAGATTCCAATGGACTTAGAATCGGAACACTTTCCCCAAAGTTCCTATTGTAAATAGAGCAAAGAAACAAAGGAGGGCAATTAAGAGAATCAGAAACCTCATTTAGAACTCTCTGGGGATAAGGAATTGGAAAGCTGTTCTGTGATTATATTTGTCAAAATGTTTCCTCTGGGGATGCCAGTCCATTGAGTCCGAAAATTAGAATTTTTGTTCAGCCATTTGGTTGAGGAGGCAATTCCCATAAAGAATGCCAATCTTGGCACAGGGAAAGCCAGAGTTTAAAAAAATGATTTAATAATGTATACTCAAACCCAAAGCCAGTGAGTCCGTTTCGACCCATCGAATCCGATAGGACAAAAGTAGCACTGCCCCCTCGGGTTTCAGAAGGTGTCAGTCTTTGGAGAAGGCTGCAAACCTTCACAGAACCAAAATGCCTTTCCCCTAAGGAACTGCTGGTGGATTTGAACTTCTGACCTGGTAACCCATTATGCTACCAGTACTGCAGTGAAAATTCTCACAAGCTGAGCTATCCGACAGAGGCAGATAGAAGAGATGGGATGAGAAGTATACTGGAACTTTCTCTGCCATCTTTGCAACTTTTGTGTAAAATTATTCTAAAACTAAAACTACAAGTGAAAGGTACAAAACCAAACTAAAACAACAACAAAAACTGGCAAAAAGACCAAGATGTATGTGCAACACTTCTAAACAGGATGCTATAACCCCACATTCATTTGACAACAAAGTATAAAACTCCCCACCAGCCTCTTTCTTTGTACCCCGTGGCTATAATGCAACAGGAGCTTGGCAATTAAACACTGGCTTATAACACCCTATTTTAAATATGGGTGGATTGATCATCTCCATTTCTGTTTTGTAAAGTAGAACTCTTAGAGTTAGAAGACATTCCTACATAGAGAGGGTGGGTTACATTAACTTCATAAACTGTTAATAATGTACTAGAAAATCGTTCTTCATGCTTTGCATATATTCGCCACACACTGTTGTTAGTCACTAAAGTCCTCTGCTTAGCATTTTAATAAACAGATTAATGATTAGGTAGAAAGGAAAAAGGAGTAGGGAGAGTGGGGGGGCGGGGGGCGGCGCTTCAACTATTAAAACAGTTTGGTTTCCAATTTCCTTTCATCAACCCAAACAAAAAATCTGTATCCTGCAAGCAGTAACTCCCCATCCTCAGCTCTTTCAGCCCTGGCAACCATGCGTCTACTTTCTTTCTCAGGTAAGAGAAGGTTATTCTTTTTAAGGGTGATAAAATGAAAAGTTAGAGGGCTGAAACAATGATATAGGAAATCTTTGGTATTTTGTCACATATATAATTTTTCCATAAGAAAATATAATCTGACTAAATCAATTTCATCTTATACATAACTTTCCAGGAGCGTGTTTGGTCTTAGAGCCAAGTATACACAGCCTATCTTTTATCCTGGAGAATCTTCTTCTGTTTAAGGTACAATCAAGAATGCCATTTGGCACAAGCCCAGGGAGGAAGGGTACCAGCTTGCCAATGGCTGAATCCGCAAGGTCCAGGCCAATAGAGGGTGAATGACTAGGGTAAAGAGAATCCACCAAAGGTGGAGGGGAGGAAGGAGGGAAAAAAGAGGAGCTGATTCCAAGGGCTCAAATAGAAAGCAAATCTTTAAAAAAATGATGATGGCAAGAGATGTACAAATATGCTTGAAACAATTGATGTATGACATGCTATAAGAGCTGTACGAGGCCCCGATAAAATGATTTTTTTTAAAAAAGAGAATAAACCTTCAAATGTCAGTTTGCTTTCCTTAGTTCTATGAAGAATTCACCTGAACGGTTTTAAGAAAATCAAGCCGGAAGTACAAGGGGAAAGGATTGCAAGCCAGGCAAATCCAGACCCTCCCTAGCTGTACAAGACAGGTCTATTATTCAGCAAGTAAGCCATGAGTAGTTTGAAAATATTGGGTGTAATTTGAAACTTTGTCAATCAGATCAAATTTTTGACTATGTAATTAAAAATTTTTTTTTGCTTCCAAGAAGCAAATAAAATTTCCAGAAATTGTTGGGCCCTGCTTTCTCATCTGCGTGTCTAAATGATATGAAAGCTGTCCTCCACGCGCTCGCTCTATAGCTCTTTTAAAAACTGTTCTCAAATCTGTGACAAATGTTATCATATATTCAGAAATACTTTTTTTAAATGTACTTTTTTAACAAGGGTAGAAAGATTTTTTTTTTAAGACCCGTAAGCAAACAGCAAACGCACTGCCAGTGAGTCGATAGCAACTCATAACCACCTTTAGGACGGGTGGAATGGTCGGTGAGTTTTGGAGACTGGATCTTAACAGGGCGAGAAAGCCTCTGACCTTGTGGTTAGCAGCCCAGCACATAACCACTATCCCACTAGGGCTCCTTTCTGAAGTCTTTCGTACACACTCACAACAACCAGTTGATATCAACACTATAGGGCAGGGCAGAATCGCCCCTGTGGGTTTCCAGGACTGTCACTGGAACAGGAGTAGAAAGTTCTTCTCTCAAGGAGGTGCCAGTGGTTTCGAACTGCTGATATTGCAGGTGGCCGCAGCCCAATGCATAACCCCTATGCTACCATGTCTCCTTCTAAGTACC